GCGATGTGATAAATATGATTTTAAGGTCGGTCATTGCTCTTTCGATTACTTCTAATGCACGATCCACTGTATCTGTAAACAAAATATGACCATTGTCTTCCCAATGCCAGGATAATATTAACGGATCCACTGGATCGAGCGGATGTGATCGTACAAATACCATTTCTCGAATATCCATGTTGAAGTCCATTTTCATTTTACAGCAGTTCTGTTTTTGACCAATATGACCGTCGAGCCAGATAATAGTATATCGCGAGCTTATCGTCATTTGTAGTCGTTGTTGTTGAACTGTAATGTCGCAAATAGGCAGTAACTATGAAAGTGTTATATAAAGTCAAAAAAGTCTTCTCAGGGTAGTGTATTGATGTAATGAACAAAAAAAGAATTAAAAATGACATAGTTACTCACATTCTAAGGGCGAATTATCAAAGTGTGTGAAGCGAGAGAGAAATCTGACAGCAGCGCGGTGCGCATGTTGGAATTTTCCAACCGTCTGTCGTGATACTTCTTACCTTACTTTTTGGCAAGCGAACATGTTGGACATACAGGCATTTTATAATTCTTTCGCTTCGCTGCTGCCAGTATCTATGACGCACTCAGCAGAACGCAAGAGTAATATTTTGCGTTATCAGGTGAAAGAGCTACGCTCATAAACGACCGTGCGCGCCATACTACGGTACCCATGTAAGCATGGAACGCAAAATTGATGCGTTGAAACGCGGTTTCACAATAAAACGCGTTCAGACGCGGTTAAAAACGCTTTCACGATGCATCCAAACGGATTTTCAATATAAAGCGCGTTTAGATGCAGTTAGAAAAGTTTTGAAACGCGTCTGAACGCAATTTTTGTAAAACCGTATGCAAGAAAATGATCAAGTAAATTTGAGGTCTCATCGTCATCCGACAGACAGAGTGGAAAAACTCGATCGACAATGGTTGGCAGATGTTCTTTACATATCGGATCGAATTCATGTTTGGACACAGACCGAAAATTGAGATGATAGTCTTGGAAATGATCGTGTGGCGTATTTTCACATGGCAAAAAGTTTCGTCATCATTGCTTATTTCTTTTCTGTCTTCATGACGTCTTGCTGAATGATTGTTGGAAGAACGAAAAGGCGAAAGGTAACATAAGTGAGATGTATGCACAGAAAAAGAATCGTCGTAGTAGCCATCAACAGATTGCGACATGTTTGTTGTAAATACGAGTCGGTTAAGCTCACGCGCACACATATCGCGAACAACTGGACGAACATTGTCTAGTAGAGAAGAACGTGATTATCCTTGATTTTTTGCTAATTTTAGATGCTCTTTCTAACCTGAATATCAAAACTGAAAATAAAATTTTTCTCCTGGACGGGTTTCACAACGCATGCATGGTTTTTCAAGGAAATTCAGAATAATCTTATGGGCAAAATTTTCTGGAGCTTGGGTCACCCTTGTTCTTGGATATTGTGTGCTCAGGACATACCAAAAGTTTCGGGATTTGCTGATAAAACTTCACAGAGAGGTAATCAAGTTTCTGTTTCAGCAATTATTGAGGCTAGCAGCCATGCTTACCTACGCACGCACAATTTGTTTCATGACATTTGTTGAAAGTTCTTTTGAATAATCTTTGATTAAAAAATTCTCATCTTGGTTACAGCACTGAGTACAACAATTAGGAACTCTTTTGATCGTTCAAATTTTGTTCGACATGGTGAACTAAAGAAATATAGCGATTATATGAAGTAGACTTAGATGACAAGTTCTAGGCTTATCACACATAAACAGGTTAAAATTCTTCGAATCAGCAGAATAGCAAGCGAAGCATTCCAATAAACTACAGTTTGAAGCTGGAAATTAGCCCCAAAACGATGGTTCGTATGTCTTTTTAAACACAGCTACCCAGCTCAAACATGCACGGTCGTAAACGACCGTAAACGGAGATATACGGAGATCGTAAACGGACTCCGTGATTACAATGACTAGGAAAAGAATATGAAAAGTATTTAGTTATAGAATTATTCCAGTTTCATACAGTTTTATTATTCGTTAGTTGTTGTCCAGTAGTTGTAGCACAGCAACACTTCTATAATCAACATCAACGATCGAGCGAGATCTCATCTATCATCAGGATAATCGCGAAATGTCACTCGATTTTTTCGTTCAACGTTTTATTTCTGCTTCCTGTAAATCTATATCATTCTGCAAATGTTCACTTCATGCAACAGAAATTCTTGATATTTCCTTTGATACCACACGATTTTATTGTTAAAAATATGTAACCATACAAAAACAAGGGTATCATTTGTGGACAATATTATCTAGTATAAAACTCACGCATCTGAACATATAAACTTTGTCCACTGATGGAAAATCTGATAGACACCCAGCATTCGAAAACTCGACCGAAGATACTTTACGTCTTTCTCTAAATGCACTGTCAAACAAGAATTCTCTCACAGATTCAAAACGGCTATTCTCATCAGCGATTGTCTTCACCTTCATTCGCCATTCTTCGCCACAAACACTTTTCATTTCAACACCACAACTTCGCATAGCTTGAATCACATCTTCAAATCCAATTTCACCGTTTGGATTCACCACATGATATACATTTCCATATACATCAGGTTGAACTTTACTCAAATTAACAATAGTTTTCACCGTAAAATCAACTGGCAAACCATTCACATCACCATGAAGCGCTGTCTCAGGATAACAACCCATCCTCATCATTGCATCAAATAACAACGTATAAAGATCATTTTGATTACATGCACCACTTCTGCTATCACCACAGATCAATCCTAGACGATAAATAACCACAGGTAAACCACAACGACTTGCTTTGACTATCAACTTTTCTGCCACCCATTTACTTTGTGCATAACCACTAGTCAGTCTATCAGGAGAAGTCTCCTCAATTGATATCTCTTTCTCAACATCAGGAGGTAGAACACTCATGGTCGAGATGTATTGTATAGGTATACAAGCAGAAGGCATATGAGTGACGAAACGAATGATCTCTCGAGTACCACACACATTCGGACCACAAAGCTGACTATATGGAAGTACAAAATTAACACTTGCACCACAATGAAAGATCACATCGATTTCACGAGCAAGTAATTCGTATGTTTCATTATCCAATTCAAAACAACTTTTGGCAAGATCACCTTGCAATGCAATGATTCGATCTTGATAGTCGTCTTTCCATATCTGATAGAATAACATAGTCTCTCGAATGCAATCTAATGCCTTCGTCGAAGATGAACATCGAACAAGACATACAAATTTACACTCGCCACGATAGACTGTTAATAGTTCGGCTAGTAAAAATGCACCAACAAATCCTGTTGTTCCAGTAATGAAAATCATCGAAGGACAATCACTTGTGATCTTACGTTTGCCAATTGTTATATTCAAATCCAAGTCAGCATCATTCAACAATTGTGGTACAAGTGATTGAGAAAGAGAAGAGAGCTGAGAAGGATCTTGGATGAGAGTTGTTAATTGTTGAAGAGTCATCTTAGGATCGAAGAGTATGTTTAATGGTATCGGTATTCCTAGATCATTCTCAATCATACGAGATAAACGAACAGCTGATAATGAATCACCACCATTAGCCAAAAAGAGATTGTCTTCTTTGTCTATTGACATCGATTGTCCTGTTGCTGTTTCGATGATCGTTTTTAGTTGTTGTTCAATAGTGATCGATGTTGTTTTGAGTCGATCAGCATAATGTGCAGCTAGTTTATGTCGACAAGGTTTCATGGAAGAAGTGAGAAGACCATTTTCAGATGTGAATGGTTGAAAATCAATGATTATTCTTGATGGAATTTCATGTTTTCGAAGTGATTCTTTTTCAGCGATTGAACGAAGATCTTGTAGAAGTGCACCATAAAAGAGTGGATCAGGATTGTTCATGTCGAGTGGAGTCAAGTTATGGTTGAGACTAAATGCTTGCGCATATGCTTGGTTGAGTACGATAACAGCGGTGACAGAATCTGCTAATAGATCACCATGAATGTAGATCTGATGGACGAAAGGACTTTGAATGTAGATGCCTTGAAGAAACTCGGGTGATACAAATTGTCCTTGTGAGAGTTTGAAGAAGTTTTTCTTACGATCGACGACATGTAAACTAGGTAGAACATTATGACAGGTACGTAATTCGACAACATCACCAGTTCGAAAGAAGCCATCTTCGGTGAGAGCAGCGTGAGTTTCTTCTGGGTTGTTGATGTATCCAGAAAACATATGTGGAGTTTTTACCAAAAGTTCTCCTCGTGGAAATGGTTTGTCATCAAGAGTGTAGCCCATGTCTGGAATAGATTCTAGGCGATATTGAAGTGCGTTTCCAACATCGTTGTCGCAGGTGATACCACCACATTCACTTATTCCATAGGATTCAATTACCGTACAATGTGTAAAACATCGTTTCATAAAGTTTAATATTACTGGACTAGCCTTGGCACCACCGATTGAGATTGTTTTGCATCGGTTTGGAATGAGTTTGGAGAATTGTTGTAGAAGGTGTTGTTCTTCTGTTTCTATGACTTCGGGTGAATGAGAGAGAGTGATAAGCGACAGAGCTGCTTTGAATTCCGTGTAGATTTTATTCCAAATACTTGGAGGACCACCAAAAGATGAAGGTCTGACAAGAGCTAGTTCTTCCATAAGCCGAGAAGGATCTCCAGTAGAGAACCCAGTACGTCCTCCGTTGAAGAAAGTTGCAATAATGGCATCACGGTCAGTTGTCCATGCCAGTGGTCGATAGGAAAACGTAATTTGATCAATAGAAGATGACAGACACCATCGTGGAAACGCAGATCGAAAAGTACTTTCTGACATCATTGCGCCCTTAGGAAAACCTGTGCTTCCACTTGTATATATGATCGTGAGACAATCATCAGGCCCAATGGTGACATAGTCATACTGTTTGATTGAGCCATATTTTTCGATGTCCCCCATAAAGTAAATTGATAGTCCATTGTGTGTTGTACCTAATAAAATAATACCGATAGTGTTGTATTCAAAACATCAACAAAAATACTTTTAACGTTTGCTAGTTCATAAAGTGTTCACTTATGAAATATGAATCATGCAAG